CCTGGTTTCTAGCCTGATGCCTTTAACCAGTACGCAAAACTGGATTATTTAATACTCCCAGTTCTTTAAACAAACTGTATGGCTAATGGGAACTGTCTACAATATACATATAAAACCCAGCAACCACAATTTGGGTTTCCAGAAACCAGGAGATGTAATTTATGACAATTTAGAACTGGGTGAGATGGTGAACCACAAAACCTGTTTAGGGAGTCCCGCAGAACAGTTAAAATGGTACAAGTGGCATTTGTATGCTTGTTAAAAAAACTTTTGAATTGGTCATACACCAAAATGGCATCATACGCCAAAATGGAAATTTGACCTGGGTATAGAATTTGGTATAGATTTAGAGAAATAATTAGGTCTGCTTTTAAGTATAAAAGGACACGTTTTCAAAGCTTCAGATCCAATCTGAAGTCTCTGGAACAATAACCATAACTTTATTTCTATCACAGTTTTCTTTCGTTGCCAACAGCTGTCCTTCTAAAATTTTAAATTCTCTCTCTAGGCACTTCTACAAAACCGCCGCTGTTATATCCAAAATGCTGAGGCCCCCTTCTACTAAAGTCCACCCTCCTCCCACTACAGCTGTTGCAGGAACTCAGAATAGCCAAAGAGCCTTCTCTTTCCAGGCACTCAATAGAGGAGTGCCAAGTCAGCCTCCACCCTTCAGCTCCACTTCCTATCCTCTGTTGGTTTTTCAGCAAAAAAAGGGACAGAAACGTCATGCAGAGGGTTGGGGTAAAGTGCCGAATGGCTTAATATGCGAACATTCGGGTAGGGAAGCATAGCAACTGAGAACGTCAGAAGTCAACGGTGGGAGGTAGGATTGGCAGCCTTTCCCTCCCGCCAATACTTTTGGTCTTTTAGAACTGTCCGGAACAGTTTTTGATGAGTGACCCCATTTGGAATACAGAGACGTTATGTAAGCACTATTGTTCTCATAAAAAGATCCGTCACAGTAGTGGAAGTGGTAAATCACAATATATGCAGGTAATCCTTGACTGACAACCATTCACTTAGAGACTGTTCAGTTATGACAGCACTGAAGAAGAGAGGTGGCCAGTCCTCATACTTACAACCATTACATCCTCCTTGTGGTCACATGATCAAAATTCAGACCCTGGGCAACTGGCATGGATTTATGACAGTTGCACTACTTGCTTCACTATCTGAAAAGCAAAGTCATCGGGGGGCCTCCAGATTCATTTAATGACTGTGTGCTTTGAATGATTTGCTGCATAGCAAAAAAAAAAAAATTGTGAAATCGGGCACAACTTAACAATCACCTTGCTTAGCAACGGTGTCAATTATGGTTATAAGTCAAGGACTACCTGTACCCTTATATTAGAAAGCAAACAAACAATCGTCTGTAGATCACTTTCTCTTCCAGTAATACCTTTGGAGCCTAACTGGGAGGTGAAGACGCATCCGTGGGCAGAACACTGTTTTCAGGTGCCAACTTGCTGATCCACAATTTTTTTCTTTCCTCCTGTGACCTGCAAGTTCTGTGCCATGAATGAGTCACCATAACAGATTCTCAACTTCTTTCCAACTCATCTTTGGTTGCAAGATTTTTATTTTGTTTTTGTTTTTAATTTTAAAAAAAGACAGGGAAAAAAAAACACAAAACCACGACAGAACCAAATGAAAGAACAAATTAAAAAAGCACTCAGAATATTTGTTACATTATCATCATCATCATTATTTTTTTTTTCAAGTCACTTCTAAGCCCCACAGTTACAAATAAATTAACAAGACAGGATCAGACCCCGGAAGATTAAAAATTTAAAAAAAAATGAATACTAGGAACTAACTACCTTTGGCAAAGTTATCACACGATTTTCCCACTGCTCCCAGGTCGGCTACAGCAACAGGCCAGTCATGTTGGGGTGGTGTTGGCAAGAAACTGGGTTCTAGTACAGCATCCTTCATGCAAAAAGCCAGCCCATTTGATCCACTCCTCTAGGGCTATCAAACTGACTGACCCTCCTGGGCATATAAACAAGATTCCCTTTTTCACATTAACCTCCACACCGGTCAGAGTTTGATAGAGAGCAACCTGGAGAAGCCAGTTCATGGAAGGCAGAAGACCTTCCATTAGACCTGAACGTGGTCCCAGTCAAGGTTTCTAAAGGAGATTCGTGTCCAACGAGAAACAGAAAGCCCAGCTTCAACTTTCTTTGATACAAAAACGCTCTTGCATCACAGCTGAATTCCAGCTATCCTCCAATTTCACCCTGATGTACGAAGTGCCAGTTACATCGGGGAAGCGAGGCCCCACAGAGCAATGTCCAGCCCCTTAGTGTGTCTTTTTTAAAAAATTTTTTTCCATTTTCACGTCTTCGTGGACGCAGTCTTCAGTCCTTGTCATGGTTCCATCTTAGCCACGTTGTCCCTTTCCAGGTTGATAGATAGAAGCTTAACTGAACAGATCAGATTTCATTGGACCTGGGCTGTCTTCCTGATTTTCCCCCCCGATAGGGTGAGAGGAATGCTGCACCGGATCCCCACCGCCCCAAGCAGACCTGCACGGCACACACCCTTAATAAAGCTTTTCTATTTGGTTTATCATTAAAGTATATGAGGTATATGGCGGGCTATCTCCAAAGAGCCTTGTGGTGGATGTCTTGGCACTGTAAGGAGAGGGAGGGGGTGGCTAGCCTGTCTCCCTCCCTCGTGCCCTCCCCCCAACCCTGGGACGGGCACTGGCACGGAGGCATGTGAGCAAATATTTGGTTTGACAGCTTTGGTTTTACTTTATTTCCTTCCTCGCTCTAAAACTCCTAGGAGCGTGGAGGGGAGCGCAGCAGAACAAAGAGATGCAGCTATTTTTCGAGCATCTTTTCATTTTTTTTTAAATAAACCAGCCAGGTGAAGAAGTACGTGGACTAGAGAGAGGTATAGTTGGTTATGGACTTTGACCTATCAATAAAAATCATCGGCCAATTTAAAACTAAAGAAGAGGCCGTCTTTCTCTGGATCCATCAACCACAACCATCCCTATAGCAAAATTCACCAAAAAAAAATCACCAATTTGGAAGGGGAGACGGTGATACCTCCCACATCTCCTTTCCTAAAGCTAAAGCCAGACCACTTTAAAAAGAGGCATCATACCTACAACCTGCTTGTGTATATTTTCCTCTGTCCCACTCTGGTCAAACATTTGGCTGGATTTTGAAGGCAAAAAGAGGGAGCAATTCCCAGCCACCCTCTTTTTTTCCTAACCTTTTTCGTCTTTCTGAGAAAGCTGCTGCTCCCACTCGTCTCCAGGTTGACAGCAATCTAACCTACTTCCCAACATCCTTACTTGCCCTATAAAATCTTGACGGTTTTCCCTCCACGCCTGTTCAACCACCACTCAGCTCCATGCATGGAGATAGGGTCATTTTTGGTCTAGAATCAATTCTTTTTTTAAAAAAAAAAACACATTTTGGTTTTTGGTATTTTTTTTGTTTGTTTTTTGTTTCGTTTTTTTCCCTTTTTATCTTTTTTTTGTTGCAAACCTTTAGCGTTTGTTTTTTGTCTTTTTTCTTAATACAGTAAGAAGCGATAAAGCGGAACATAGAATATTCTCTATTAAAAAAAAATAGATACCCCCCCCCCGAAAAGTAAAAATGAAAGAAAAATAACAAAGATCACTAAAACAGTTACATTCCACCTAGAAACACGTTCAGTAGCACATGAGAGAGAGAGAGAGAGAAAGAGAGAGAAAAAGAGAGAAATATTTCTCTCCAATGTTTCTTTTTTTCCCCAGATGTCCACCATTATACCGTAACTGAAATCTTAAAAGGGCTGAATAAATACTTGGCGGTTCTCTCTCACTCACGCACAGAATGGGATGAAAACTTTTCTTTTTTTTTTCAAGTCAGTCTTTTAAACTAGGTGTTTCCTGGTTTTTTTTTTTTGTTTGTTTGTTTGTTGTTGATTTGTTTGTTTTGGAAAGTTTCACAGTATTTTTTTTTCTTTTGTTATCTCAAACCCACCTGAACGTTAGAGCACAGCAAAAGCAGGAGATAAAATGAGGTTGAGGGTTTTTTGTTTCTGTCCTTTAAGAAAGGTTCAAAGTACTTTTTTTTGTTTGCTTGTTTATCTTTTTTTTTTTTAACTCTGTCCTTTTTGTTTGGTTTTTGTTTTCTACCAGATCGCAGTATGCCATGGCTAACTTCCTTCTCTGCAACAGCAAAACTTTGGTTCGCAGGAGTTGAAAATAAAAGACAAACATTCAAAGAGCCCCCAAAACATCAATTAACCCACCCAACGTATTAAAAAAAAAATATATCCCAAACCATCCAGTTAAAACGAAAACCAAGAAGACCAAGAAAAGAAATGTACAAAAAAAAAGTTTCAAAACAAAACAAAACAAAGTAAGTGTTTTGAGAAGCCATTTTTAAAGCTTTCCAGACTTCCGGGAGAAAGTTACAGAATCTTCTGATCTTGCCCTCCCCACTTCAGTTGATTTGGTTTACTTATTTATTTGTCTCTTTGCCATTTATAAAATTTTGGCTTCTCAACACAACTTTCCATGAGGTATTTTTTTTTTCAGGACAGAGAAAGACGGTTGAGCCATTTTGTCTTAACCAGAGAAAGTAAAGATGTCCCCTTTATTCCCACACATTTTCATCCTTTCTTCTTCATTTAAAAGTTTTTTGTGGTTATTTCTTTTAGGTTCTTTTGTTTGCTTGGTTGGTTCTTTTTGGTTAAAAGTTTCTCTCGCCTCCGAGTCTCTGTGATACCCACTTTCTGAGAAGATTTTTTTTTTTTATCCCTCTTTTGTCTTTGCTTTTATTTATATTCCCCAGTGGTCTTCATTTTGTTGTTTTCTGTAGTGATGTCTATCAATTTTTGGTTTTTTTTTCTGAAAAATGTAAAGAATGCTGAAATTCCCATTTTTTTTTGTTTTGGTTTTTGTCAGGCACTGGAATATGAGTATTTTTTTTCAGAACACAGCTATAAAAATAATAATAACAATAAAAATAAAAAACCACACATCCCCTGTTTTCAAAAAAATAACCCCTGATACTAACCCCAGGCAAAACCAATTAAAAACATTTTTTTAGCTAAGCTCAATAGAAAATTAAAGCTGGCAAAGAAAAGGTACAAGCTGATAGAAAAAAAGCAAAGGTTTAGTGCTGCCCATCCTTAAAAATTTGAAGACTGTGACTTTCAATAATGCCTCTTGTCCTGCAAAAAGTACTTACATTATAGACCCTCTGAGTAGCCCTGCTAACAGTAATAAAGTAATTCCAGCCGGACGGAACTCCTTCATTCTTATTATAGGGGGGAAGTCTTTGAGAGAGACAGAAACAGGCATTGCAAATATCTGGGTTTTGATGCATCAAATGCCTGCTGCAATGTATACATCTCAAAAGGGACTTCAACAAAGAAATTTTTTTAAAACGGTTCCCCACCTCTTTAGCCCCAGAGAACTAATATAGATTTTGGCTGGCAAGTAATCTGAATTTTGTGATCACAAACTCCTTTAGTGGAGCCTATCCCAGGGCTGATGAATCAAATAACCTCTTTGCAAACAAGATGCAGCAGAAATAATTTAAAAAATAACTCATTGCAGGACATCAATCAAGAAACCAGTTTCCAGAAAGGGAACCCGGTGTCTGATTTTCATTATTGCCTTTGAAAATCCTAGCCTTCATTTCTTATAAGAATCCCCCTATTTGTATAAAGCTTCTTATTTGTTTCATTAAAAAAAAAAGAGAGAGCAAAAAAACCAGAAACATTTGTTAATCATTTAAAAAATAAAGAAAATATTTATAGGAAGATCCTGAAATTAAATCAATCCATTCTTTTCCTGCCCAAACTCTTTCTGGATCCAAGGAAAAGAGAAAGAATAAATAAGAATAAATAAAAGCATTTTGAAAGACATTCGACCAGACACTGAAGATAGAAAAGTTTGTAAAAAGCTTTGGGTGAAGCTAGAACTGGTGATTTTTGGTGTGAGATCTGTATTCCCCTTAAGGATTTTTAAAGGTTCTTTTAAAAGTATTTTTTTCTTTTTTCTTTTTTTTTACAAAAAAAATATCCCCATTTATTGGTTTCCTTTCTGATACTGTCCAGGAAACGAGCAGATGAAGAAAAAAAAACATAAATCATTAAAAAAACCAAACAGACCATCGACTGTCACCTTTTGCAGAGGGGAAAAACAAATGAATGCCAAAGGTTTGGGGAACTTTCTTTTTTTGGTTTCTTCCTTTTTTTTCCCTTTTTGCTTTGCTTGTTTGCTTATTTTTTGGTTTTGGTTTGGTTTTTTTTTTTTTTTTTCGTTTGGCTGTTGCTGACATTTCTATGTTTGGTTTTGGTGATTTTGGTTTGCTTGGGTTTTTTGTTTTGGTTTTTTTTTTTTTTTTTGGTTTCATGTGTCGGTTTGTACGTCCACTCCTGGCTACCCCCGCCATGTCAGAAAAGGCAGCGTGGATGCTCCTGAGTCCTCACTCCGTCTTGGCATCCGGTTCGGTGGATCCAGTTCCAACTTGCCCCATTGTCTGCACCATGTCACTGGAGGAGCTGCATGAGGAACAAGAGGAGGAGGAAGAGGAAGAGGAGGAGGAGGAAGTCAGGGTAGGGGACTTGCTAGGCATAGAAGCAGCCACGGCAGCAGCTGCTGACACCAGCCCCACGCCTCCGGGGGCAGCACTCAGCAAAGGCAGGCCCGCGTGGTTGAGGAAGAGCGGCGAGGTCACGATGCTCTGGCTTCCAGTTGTGCCTGCAGTGGTACCCAAGACTAAGTTACCACTGGCATCAAGGCTGGTAATTGGCAGGCTTCCACCACTGGCCAGGGCTATGCAAAGAAAGAGAGAGAGAAACACTGGTTAGGCCACATCAGCAGTGGCATCCTGTCCTTGGCCTTGGGGTCAATATAGAATCGGCCCAAAGAGAGACAGTGCCAAGATTGCCCTCTGATGGACAATCTTGCAGGAAACCATTCTTATCACCTTCTTTTAATGACCCCCCATAATCCATTGCGGGGTGGAGTCTGGGCAACCGAATAGAGCTGAATGTTTACTGGCCGGATGCCCTTCCTGTCGCCAGTGCGGAGTTGTGTTCAGCAGATATATCCTCATTGCGCCCAGAGAGAGAGAGAGAAATATCTGCCTCTACCTAGGATCGAACTCACGCCCTCCTGATTGCGAGGTGAGAGCTCCACCTCTAGGCCACCGCACCACTCACAGGAAACCATTCTTATCTTTGCAAAAAAAAAAAAAAATTAAGATGCTTCCTCTTTGGAGACTCTTCCCCCGTGTCAAAAAGACAGGTATAATTGAAATGGCTCTTCCTTGCCCCCCTCCCCCCTCTGTTACTTCTCTTCCCCCCCAAACATGATTCACACGGAAAAGATGCATGATGTGAGAAGACAGGTTGCACGATCGATGGTTAGCATATATGATATGAGGCATGTAATGGTGCGTGAAACGCCTTCTGATATGTGCAAATTCAAGATGGAATGGAGAAAAACCTCAAGATGAACGAGAGAAGGTTGTGAGGGACTCCACCGACTGGCTGCACTCTCACACACCTGTACTACACTTGCACACCAGCTCACAAGCAATCTTGCTGTCTTAGGTCAGGCCAAGAGGTGGGGAAGTGGTGTAATTCGGTAAATGCCTCCTTGAAAGAGGAAATGACGTGTCCTACCTTTAACGTTTCCATCTGCACAATCCCAAACAACTGCAAAAGATCTTAGGGGAAGCAGGTTACCTGGGTTATTTTCAGCCAGGATTCATATCAGGGTCCTGGCTGAAAAAAAGAACCCAGATAAGCAGCTTTCCCACGCCAGGGGTCAGGCTGGTAGAAACGGCATTGGTCGCTCTTGGGGATGATACTCTGTCTTGCCAAGCCCAACCTCCAACCATCACCTAAGGATCTCCACAGCTTCTCCTGTTTAACTCCAGGTGGAGATCCACAACTGGGAATCATCCCTGTTCTTTGTTCCTTTGATTTAAAGGCCACCCGATTCCCAAAACGACTCTGGTGGTTTACAATTACAACAGAAAAAAGAACCGATGGGTTTGGATAAGCCACACATGTTGAGGATGCCTTATTTCAAACTGATGGAGAACCTTCGCCGTTGGCTTCTTATATATGGGGTACACCTTAAATATAGGTGGTTCTCATGCATTTTCTTTTATCCTGTAGGTCTCAGCTGCTTCTGGCATCCCTGTCTATTCTATTCTCCTAGGCTGGTGTGGGATAAGCAGCCGAGTCTCTGGACCCTTTCATAAGGCTTGGTCCTTAGAGATAGTCCTCAACTTAGGGCCACAAATGAGCCCGGAATGACATCTGTTAAGTTGTTGCAGTTGTTAAAAGGATCCATAGTTATTTTACCACCACCACGCCAAATCACGCAAGCAGGTATGTGCAGCAATCCACAGATGTTGCGCGCCCAACCTGCAACCTCTACAAACTCACATCCGTTCCTTCGCACACTTTTCCTCCCACGCCACAGCAAGCCAGTGGAGTGGGGAGTGGATGGCAGCCACGACACCATGGGTATTTTTTTTTATTTTTTGGTCTTTTCTTTCACAAACCTTGTATGGTGGCCAGTGGGTTGGTGGCCATTAGCGCTGGGTTTAACCCTGCATTCACCCCTAGCACTGTGCTTCTGCAAGCAAATCAAAGGCAGCAAGTTAAAGTGGGGGCTTTGGGGTGGCAAAGAGGACCGTGCTCTGGTCACCCCCCCCACCCCCCCGCCATGCGCGTTTTTTTCCTCTCGGGTGTGTGTCCAGGAATGCATCAGTAGGATCCAACTGACAACAGCTCAGTCAATGTGGGTTTTATGTCTTGCCCTCTAGGGCAGAGGATCCTCTTGCTTGAGCAGGGGGTTGGACTAGAAGACCTCCAAAGTCCCCTTCAACTCTTGTCATCCTGTTAAGGGGGTGTTAAAGAAGCCCCGCCGAGGGTCGCCCTCCAACCTCTGAAAGGACTCAACCCTCCACAAGCTTTCCCCGTCTTGCCACTTACCCCGTACTGGGATTCAGGCCTTGCAAGCTGAGAGCTGGATGAGGACTGGGGTTTGTGCTGTTGCTTGGGGGTGGCGTGACCGAGTTGAGGGTGGTGCCCCCTGCTCCAACCGCTGTCCGACTGGGGGTTAGGGAGCAGATTGCTGGGGACAAGGTAGTAACTGCCCCAAAATAAGAACAGGAAGTTAGCAGGGGAGCTTCGCGTAGACAATGCCAAGCTAGGTATCTGGTCTTCCCAGGTAGTCCTCCACTTATGGCCACAGTGGAGCCCAACATTTCTGTTGCTAAGCAAGACAGTTAAGTGTGTCATGCCCCTTTTACAACCTTTCTTGCTATGGGTGTAACGGGGGGGTCCCTGCAAGTTGTTGCTAATAACGGCACTTGTTGTTAAGGGAATCTGGCTTCCGCACTGGCTTTGTGAGAAGGCTGTAAAAGGTTATCACATGACCCTAACCCTAACCCTAACCCTAACCAAGTGCCCCCTCCCTCCCTCCCTCCCCAGGTTTCAGGCATTCAGTATGATCAATCCCTAATTTTGCCCTCTTGTAATCCAGACCCTCAACAATCTCAACAATCCCTTAACCAACTTTGTGGGTCAACGATCAGGATGCTCTTATATTCCTCAACGACGTCCATTTCGCACCGTCCCAACAAGCTCTCGTCACTCCACCCCAGTGAACTACTCCAAGGGGAAATATAGGAAAGGAACATAAAAGGGGACCATTGTACCTGTTGTGCTCAGACTACTGGAAGCCTGGGAGAGGGGCAAACTTGTGCCAGTGCCTGGGCTGGTCACCTGAGGAACAAAAAGATAGAGAGGAGAGCCTGTCACCGACATAACAGATGTAAACCCAGGTAGGGAGCTTTCTCTCTTGCACCACCAGAGGGCAGGAAAGGTTTTTTCCCCAAAGTGCTATTCAGGGACTTGTTGAATGGAGAAGATGATGGACAGCACGCTGAGGACAACCCACTGCACCTCTGAAATCCTGGCTCACCAAGAGATGCTGCCAAGCCTTGTCTCAGGGCCTGGAGGCTGTTGGACTCTGGATGGGATCAACCACTATTTCAGCATGACCAAGTGGCTGTGGGTTCATGGACCAGTTTATGCTGAGCATTTCCCAAGCTTAGTTCTCCAGAGGGTTGCATTTCCTCAGATGGAACTGGCATGCAGTTTGGGTGGTGGTGGTGGTGGAGGAGCGGTTTACTTGCTCAGTGTTGAACGTTGTATGTCCCTAATTTGAAGGTGCTTCTGACATGAACAAAGAACCTGCACTGATAGGTCCTGCTTTGCGACCCCGTAGTCCCTAATCAGAGTAGAATTGGCACGACTGAATGGAGTTGTGCATTTACTGGCCGGAGGCCCTTCCTGACACCCACACAGAGTTCACAGCAGATATTTTCCCTTTGCACCTTAGGGGAGAAATTAGGATTGAACTCCCAGCCTTCCAAGTGGGCAAAAATAAGGTAAGACGTGTCCTTCAAGCGGCTTTTGCCAATGTCAGCATCCCACGGGAAAGCCACCCGGGAGGTCAGCTGAGACAGAGGGAAAAGTGGGAGTTTACCATGTGAGGGCTGTAGCCAGCAGGCTTGCTCTGGGCAGGCAAAATGGGAGCAGAGCTGCAAGGGTTGATCCGTTTCTCCTTCTGGCGGCGGTTGCAGAACCAGACACGAATCACCTCCTTCTCCATGTTCAACTGTTCAGCAATAAGTAGGATCTCCTCTGAGGTAGGCTTCTGGTTCTGTTGGGGGAGACAGACGTGTAAGAACAACATCCGGTCCTAAGCGAGAAGTGAACAGCAAGAAGCAGGACAGGAAAATACCCACAAAATGGATAACACTGATTATACAGCCGCCTGTAGTTGGTTACAGGTAGTCCTCGGCTTACAACCACAATTGAGGCCCAAATGTCTGTTGCTAAGCAAGACGGTTGTTAAGCAGGAAGTTTGGGGCCATTTTGTGACCTCTTGGGGCCATTTTGTGACCTGCTAGAGTTGTTAAGTGAATCACTGCAGCTGTTAAGTTAGTAACCCAATTGTTAAGCGAATCCGGCTTCCCCGTTGACTTTGGTTTGTCAGGAAGTCACAAAAAAAGGATCCCATGACCTGGGAGACAGAACGGCCATAAATATGAGCCAGTTGCCAAACATCTGGATTTTGATCACGTGGCCATGGGGATGCTGCAAGCGGTTGTAAATGTGGAAAACGGTCATAAGTCACTTTTTCCATTACTGTTGTAACTTCGAACAGCCACTGGACAAATGGTCGTAAATCAAGGATTATAACGTAAGCAAGTATATAAACGTTTTAAATAAGGATATGAAATCAGTTTTAAATGACCCACTTCAGGTGGAAGCATTAAGCTTCGGTGGCGTAGTGGTGAGAGTGCAGTACTGCAGGCGACTTCTGCTGACTGCCGGCTGCCTGCAATTTGGCAGTTCAAATCCCACCTGGCTCAAGGTTGACTCAGCCTTCCGTCCTTCCGAGGTGGGTCAAAGGAGGACCCAGATTGTTGGGGGCAAGAGGCTGACCCTGTAAACCGCTCAGAGAGGGCTGTAAAAGCACTGCGAAGCAGCATCTAAGTGCTATTGCTATTAAAGAAAGCAGCACAGGCAAAACTTTTCCTAAGTCTCTTCTCCACTGCATGGCATAACCTATACTGATTTGGGGAGGGAAGGGACGAGGGAGGGAGGGTTGCTTGGTAGGGAACGTTTTACCGCTAGAAAGCTTTTTTCCAATGCAAAGCGGACATTAGTCTCAATGCTGGTCCGTTTCTTGCGACGTCGGCCCGGCAGCCCATCAAAACCAAGGTTGGGGCTGCTCAGCTGGTTGGGGCTGGGAAGCGTGGAGTCCACAGACATTGTCTCTGTAACATGTTGAAAAGGAACATTTTATTCGCCTTTTGAGTAACATTCATAAGGCACATCCCCTATACCAGCGGTCTCCAACCTGGGCAACTTTAAGACTTGTGGACTTCACACGTTGAAGTCCGCACGTCTTAAAGTTGCCCAGGTTGGAGACCGCTGCCCTATATGACTCAACACCTTCTATCACTTTTCCATCTATCTTCTTTTCTTTTTTTTTAATTAAACTTTATTAATTCTCTTATGTTTTTAAAAGAAAAAAATAACCATAACATTAATAGTACTGTAACATTCATAGTATACATCTCTATCTCTTGTGTGTTATACATTTATATATATATTGTTATGTGAGTATATACATTTATCTGTTGTTTACTTATTTTAACTTTCATTATATTCTATTTGCCTAATTTCCAGCCAATCATACCACATGCCTCAAATTTTATAATATTCTGACGCTTCTTTGTCTTTTAGTTCTAGGGTCAATTTGTCCATTTTGGCACATTCCAAGATTTTTTAAATTATTGATTCATCAGGGGGTGGTATTCTTATATTTCCAATATTGTGCGTAAGATAATCTAGCTGCTGTTAGTATGTGCAATACAATGCACTTAATCTCTTTATCATGTTTCTTTTTAAATATCCCTAGCATAAATAATTCCAGCTCAAATTCTATTTGTTCTTTGACAATTTCTTGTATCCATCGCCTCATTTTGGACCAATATCTTTGCGCTTCTGGGCAGCACCACCACATATGATAGAAAGTACCTTGTCTCTTTTTTTACACTTCCAACATGCCAGATTCGTGTTGGGATACATTTTTGCTAATCTGTTTGGGGCTAGATGCCATCGGTAAAACGTTTTGTATATATTTCCTTCGTAGACCGCAGATCTGGTTAATTTATAGTTCCATCTATCTCTTTTCAAATGCCGACTTTCCTCAGCATTCATCCTCTCCAGAAATGTCATCTCTTTTCTCTCCCACTTAATCGTAACTATGTATGAATATATCCTATGTTGATGGAGCGAACAAGAACTAAGTTTCTCACTGGAAGGTAATAATGCTCTTTATGGTGCCGTAAATCCCACCACTCAGTCCTGCTTGTATTGTGCTGCCCGCATCTTCCTTCTGTCAGGCTCAGACCACGAAGGCCACTACATCATGCTAAATTATGGTTTCTGAATGAGCTACCATTTGCTGGCTCCGCACGGCATACTAAGCTTGTTTACCTGGACTACCAACAGCAGGAAAGCTCAATTTTTTAAAAAAAAAAAATGGAATAACGGAATAACAGAGTTGGAAGGGACCTTGGAGGTCTTCTAGTCCAACCCCCTGCTCAAGCAGGAGACCCGATACCATTTCTGACAAATCCAGTCCCTTTTTAAAATCCTTCAGAGATGGAGCACCCACAGCTTCCACAGGCAAGCTGTTCCACTGGTTTATTGTTCCCACTGCCAGGTCATTTCTAATTTGCTTCTTTCCTTAGTTAGTTTCCACTCATTGCTTCTTGCCTTGCCTTCGGGGGCTTTAGAAAATAGGCCGACCCCGTCTCCTTTGTGGAAACCCCTTAGATGTAGGAGCAATGCTGTCATGTCTCCCCTAGTCCTTCTTTTCAATGGATGAGACATTTTATGTACACGGAGAGCATTTGCACCAAGACAAATTCCTTGTGTGTCCAATCACACTTGGCCAATAAAGAATATCCTATCCTATCCTATCCTATCCTATCCTATCCTATTCTATTCTATTCTAATTCCTATTCCTATTCCATCCTATCCCATCCCATCCCACTCTACTCCACTCCATCCCATCCTACTCTATTCTACTCTACTCCACTCCACCCCACCCTATTCTATTCTACTCAATTCAATCCCATTCTACTCTACTCTACTCTACTCCTCTATTCTATTCTATTCTATTCTATTCTATTCTATTCTAATTCCTATTCCTATTCTATTCCATCCCATCCCATCTCACTCTACTCTACTCCACTCCATCCCATCTTACTCTACTCTACTCTACTCTACTC